TTGATAACCTAAAAGTCTTTCCACAGAATCCCTTGCTATCAGATCATTATCTGATTACTTTTGATTTCTTTTTACTCGATTACACGCCACTCAGCAACAGTTACTATACTAGATGTTTATCAGATAGTGCTGTCACAAAATTTAAGGAAAAGATTACTTCGTCGTTAAATTCAATACCAATACCTTCAGTAACAGAGGTTTCCCGTGCCGACTTTAACCTCTCCCAAATTGATCATTTTGTTGATAGCGCCGTAGGCTCGCTGCGAACAACGCTCGACTCTGTAGCTCCTCTTAAAAAGAAGTTAACAAAGCAAAGAAAGTTTGCTCCTTGGTATAACTCTCAAACCCGTAGGTTAAAACAAATATCGCGAAAATTTGAAAGGAATTGGCGATTAACCAAACTGGAAGAATCTCGTTTAATCTGGACAGACAGTCTCAAAACTTATAAGAGGGGCCTCCGCAATGCCAGAGCAAACTATTACTCAGCATTAATAGAAGAAAACAAGAACAACCCCAGGTTTCTTTTCAGCACTGTAGCCAGGCTGACTGAGAGTCAAAGCTCTATTGAGCCTTGTATTCCTTTAGCCCTTAGCAGTAATGATTTTATGAGCTTTTTTAATGACAAAATTCTAACTATTAGAGGCAAAATTCATGACCTCCTGCCCTCAGATGGTAGGCCTACCTATCTAACCTCAAACACAGCTGTAGAATCTAATATATATTTAGATTGCTTCTCCCCAATTTCTCTTCAAGAATTGACCGCAGTGATTTCTTCATCTAAATCATCAACGTGTCTCTTAGACCCCATCCCAACTAGGCTACTTAAGGAGGTCTTTCCTTTAGTTAACACTCATATATTAGATATGATCAATATATCCCTATTAACAGGCTATGTACCACAGTCTTTTAAGGTAGCTGTAATTAAACCTCTCCTAAAAAAGCCCACCCTGGATCCAGAGGTGTTAGCCAACTATAGACCAATATCTAATCTTCCCTTTATGTCAAAGATCCTTGAGAAAGTAGTCGCAGACCAGCTGTGTGATTTTCTCCAGGATAATAATTTATTTGAGGAATTTCAGTCAGGATTTAGAGTGCATCATAGCACTGAGACAGCTCTAGTTAAAATTACAAATGACCTTCTGATTGCTTCAGACAAAGGACTCGTCTCTGTTCTTGTTTTATTAGATCTTAGTGCGGCGTTTGACACAATTGACCATCAAATTCTACTGCAGAGACTGGATCACTTAATTGGCCTAAAAGGTTCAGCACTAAGCTGGTTTAAATCTTATTTATCTGATCGTTTTCAATTTGTTGACGTTCGTAATGAATCATCCTTACGTACCAAAGTTTGTTTTGGAGTTCCGCAAGGTTCTGTGCTCGGACCAATCCTATTTACTCTATATATGCTTCCTTTAGGTAACATCATTAGAAATCACTCTATAAATTTCCATTGTTATGCGGATGATACACAGTTGTATTTATCGATGAAGCCAGAAGAAAGTAATCAATTAACTAAACTCCATAACTGCCTTAAAGACATAAAAAATTGGATGAGCACCAATTTCCTGATGTTAAATTCAGACAAAACTGAAGTTATTGTTCTTGGCCCCAAACAACTCAGAGACTCTTTATCTGATGACATAGTTTCTCTAGATGGCATTGCTCTGGCCTCTAGCACTACCGTAAGAAACCTCGGAGTAATATTTGATCAAGATTTGTCTTTTAATTCTCATTTAAAGCAAACCTCACGGACTGCATTTTTTCATCTGCGTAATATTGCGAAAATTAGGCCTATCCTGACCCGAAAAGATGCAGAAAAATTGGTCCACGCTTTTGTTACCTCAAGGCTGGATTACTGTAACTCTCTATTATCAGGTAGCTCTAGTAAGTCCTTAAAAACTCTCCAGCTAATTCAGAATGCAGCAGCACGTGTACTAACAGGAACTAAGAAACGAGATCATATTTCTCCTGTTTTAGCTTCTCTGCACTGGCTCCCTGTAAAATCCAGAATTGAATTTAAAATCCTACTGTTAACTTATAAAGCTCTAAATGGTCAAGCTCCGTCATATCTTAGAGAGCTCATAGTGCCATATTATCCCACCAGAACACTGCGCTCTGAGAACGCAGGGTTACTCGTGGTCCCTAAAGTCTCCAAAAGTAGATCAGGAGCCAGAGCCTTCAGCTATCAGGCTCCTCTCCTGTGGAATCATCTTCCTGTTACGGTCCGGGAGGCAGACACCGTCTCCACATTTAAGACTAGACTTAAGACTTTCCTCTTTGATAAAGCTTATAGTTAGGGCTGGCTCAGGCTTGCCCTGTACCAGCCCCTAGTTAGGCTGACTTAGGCCTAGTCTGCCGGAGGACCCCCTATAATACACCGGGCTCCCTCTCTCTCCCTCTCTCTCTCTCTCTCTCTCTCTCTCTCTCTCTCTCTCACTCTCATCCTATTACTGCATCTTGCTAACTCGGCCATTCTGGATGTCACTAACTCGGCTTCTTCTCCGGAGCCTTTGTGCTCCACTGTCTCTCAGATTAACTCATATCGCAGCGGTGCCTGGACAGCGTGACGTGTGTGGTTGTGCTGCTGCCGTGGTCCTGCCAGATGCCTCCTGCTGCTGCTGCCATCATTAGTCATTAGTCATACTTCTACTGTTATTATACACATATGACTATTGTCACACATGTATACTGCCAGATATTAATACATACTTTCAACATATTGTACCACAGTAGCCAGAACTATAACTATAATATTATTACTTTCAATAATGTTGTTGTAAGCTACTGTCATTACCTGCATCTCTCTCTGTCTGTCTCTCTCTCTCTCTCTCTCTCTCTCTCTCTCTGTCTCTCTTTCTCTGTCTCATTGTGTCATACGGATTACTGTTAATTTATTATGCTGATCTGTTCTGTACGACATCTATTGCACGTCTGTCTGTCCTGGAAGAGGGATCCCTCCTCAGTTGCTCTTCCTGAGGTTTCTACCATTTTTTTCCCCCGTTAAAGGGTTTTTTTTGGGGAGTTTTTCCTTATCCGCTGCGAGGGTCATAAGGACAGAGGGATGTCGTATGCTGTAAAGCCCTGTGAGGCAAATTGTGATTTGTGATATTGGGCTTTATAAATAAAATTGATTGATTGATTGATTGATTGATGTGTGACTCTGCAAAATAAGTATGTATCGTGATGGCCTAAAAGTGATTCATTAATATATATTTTAAGCTATTTTTAATGCCCCTCCTGTCCAAATCGTTATGACCCTTGGAAATTAGTGCTCATTTTTCCATAGCATTATCAAAAAAAAAAAGAAATCTGAAGAGACTGAGGTTGTCATGTGTGGATATTGTATTGCAGGATTGACTCTTTTGGCTGAAAATAAATGAAAACGTCTGAACATTTTAATAATACGACTAGTGTAAACATATTTGCAGATTTACAGATATGTCAATTACCTAACCTTCTGCTCACTTGATTGACAGTACCAGTTATAGTTAATAAAGAATAAAAACATAATAATGTTGGCTAGTAAAGCTGTGGTAGGCAGAGTGTTGTAGTGGAGGGTAGAGGCAGGTGTAGGGTTTATACTCACCTCTTTTTCTAGCTGTTTACAGTATACCCACATATCAGCCAAAAAGCCAATGGAATATGTTTGGGAGTATACCCACTTCCTCCCCTGTAACAGACCCATTTTCCTAGAAGTACAGCTACCTCATTAACTACCCCTACACCACAGGGTAGGCAGTTTGAGCATATTGTGATTCAAGTTGACTGGCAGAAAACTACCCTCTCCACCTCCTCTTGGCTTTGTTTTCAGACTAGCCAATGACTGGAGACTGGACATTGGCTAATCACAGTTCATTTCAGACAGAGGGCATTTCAGCTGGCTGTTCCAAAAATATAGATATGTGTGCCGGCCCAGATTGTGAAAACCTGATTCAATGGTGGGGAATCCTTTAGAAAAATGGTTGCAATTCCAGGATTGGCCACAACGGCCTACACTGCAAAGCAACCCAAAAAAGGAAGACGCGCTTATCAAAAACAGAGTCTAAAAAAGCTCTGACAAAATAAATCATGTCAATATCAGTGAAGCATTTCAGAGATGGAGAGAAAATGTTGCTAATAGTTTAGCCTTCTGCTAAAAGGAGCTAAAGGCTCATAGCTGCAGCGTCAAGTTCACGTTTAGCTGACATTAGCTAAAGCCTAAATCACAGTGTGTCCTCCGCCTCACTCCGCACTGCTACACACAACTTTGCCCGGAGGAGAGCGAGCAGCAGCACTGGACAAGGACCCCTGCAGCAAACTGAATCTGAATGCTGCCTGTTGTAACCGGTACCTTTTTCCTGATCTCAACAGGGTGAAAAGGCAGTTATCTGGATGTTTGGGATCTTTATGAATTCTCCTGGCCTTACATACCTTTTATATAAAAGGTATATCTATCTTATAGATATATATACCTTTTACATAAAAGATATATCATGCCAATCGTGAACAACTGTGTGGCACATGATGAGCAAAAATATAAAATCAGAATTTGAGGTTATTTAAGTCAATATGAAAGATATACTCTGCAGTGCAGGATTTTCCTGTGTATAGATGTATAGATTCATACAGCAGTAATCCCACTCAGTCATAATGACCCTCTCTTTGTGTGTGGCATTGTCTTTATCTGCAGAGACCCTGCTTGGATAGATAGATAGATAGATGTTGTTTTTTTGGCTTTTTTGCCAAAAGGGGGAGAAAGGGGGGATGACATGCAATAGCAGCAGACTGTGGGTTGGGCTTTGCACCTGAGGCAGGCGCCCCCAATCTACTTAAAGTTTTACTGCATGTGAAGGTTTCTGTCCTGGTAAATGATACAAGTCCTGTGCAAAATGCAGGAAGCAGAAGTGCAGGCATGCATTTTACACCTTTGTTTTATTCTTTTTTTTACTGACAGACTGATGTATTTAGTTTTGAGATCTTTGCTGTGAATCTGATCCACTTTAATCCTGTGTTTGCTACAGTATAAGTCCAGCCCTTGTAAGAAGGTGTGTGTGACTGGATGGATGGTGGTGCTGCCAGATGACCCTGCCAGACCCAATATCTTCCAGCTCAATGACCCAGACAAAGGTCAGCTTGCTGCCCCCAACAGAGCTCCTGCTCTTTTCAAATTCATTTAATTAATTTTAAGTATTTGATGGGACAATGCAATTTAACATAGTTCCCATACAGAGTATTGATGTGTTGCATAGACAGTTTATATCTATAGCTAATTTTTAACTCCCGTCCCCAATTTTGCTTTTACATGAAGGCCTGCAGTGTTTTAAAAATATACAGTTTCAAACATCCTAAAACAACAATACACTATAGACATGGAAGGCACAATAATACATATAGCACAATACACATACTGATATATATATGTGTACATATATTATATACATGCAAACGGGAACCATGAGGAGGCCGCCAGGCAGTCAGCCACACCTAAATACCCACACAGTGTAAGGCAGGTCCTGAAAAGTCAGCTGAACTAAAGAACAAGGTCTGAGCCATCAATGTGTTCACCCTGCCAGTCATCAGAGGGGGGCCAAGGACTGGTGAGCATCAGAGCCACTGTCTAAGACGAAACAACCAAGATCCAGGAAAACATCAGGAGGATGACCCTCAAAGATGAGCTGTTAACTGAATGCAGAAGAGGAGGACGAACCATCACAGAAGGACAAGCCCCTGCACGGCATATACCACCGACAGATTGAAGAAGTGGCCGACATCAAGAAATCCAACCAGTGGCTGGAAAAGACTGGACTGAAAGACAGCACAGATGCACTAATCATGGTAGCACAGGAATAGAAGTACTCAATAAAAGCAGGGGTCTACCACACCAGACAGGACCCCAGGTGCAGGCTGTGCAAAGATGCTTCTGAGACAGTTTAACACATAATAGCAGGGTGTGAGATGCAGGCAGGAAGAGCGTACATGGAATGCCATGACCAAGTGGCTGCCATATTGTACAGGAACATCTGCACTGAGAATGGGCTGGAAGTACCAAGGTCAGAATGGAAGACACCTCCTGAGGTGATTGAGAATGACTGAACTAAGATCCTGTGGGACTTCCAGATCCAGACTGACAAACTGGGACAAAATGGTCTTGGCTAACCAACCAGAAAATCGTGTTGATCTCCAAACAACACAAGAAGGCAGTAGTGATAGATGCATCAATTCCAAGTGACAGTAACCTCAGAAAGAGAGAAGAAGCTCAAAAAATACCAAGGGCTGAAAGCGGAGTGGTTTCAGCAGATTTCAGGTATAACATCTGTAGTCTCTGTCCAAAAGAATGCAGTCCTAGGAACAGCTAAGATACTGCGCAGAACCGTCCAACTCCCAGGCCTCTGGTAGAGGACCCAAGCTTGAGGAAGACACACCACCACCCCCATGAGAGGGGATTTTTATATATACACATACCACGGCACACCAATACATGAGAAAGCAGTTAGCTAAGAGTGGGTTCTTAGCCAGCACTTGAGCATGTTATGAGGGATTTTATATTCAATTCAATTCAATTCAATTTTATGTATAAAGCCCAATATCACAAATCACAATTTGCCTCACAGGGCTTTACAGCATACAACATCCCTCTGTCCTTAGGACCCTCACAGCAGATAAGGAAAAACTCCCCCAAAAAAACCCTTTAACAGGGGAAAATATATACTATATAATATATATATATAAATATATCTGGAATCAGTTTGATTTTAGTTGGTAATTTGTTCCAGAATTGACAGCCCTTTATGGAAAAAGCTGATTGTCAAAGCTAAGATTTACAATATGGCATTTTAAAAATCCATGTCATCTATAGTCAAGTAATCACACAAAACAATTTATGTCATTTCACAGGCAACGTTTACAAGTTCCAAACAGGATCCAGGTTTTCAGCGATCATCTGGCACAAAAACCTGGAAGAGGCTTGTAGGAGCAGTAGACCTCAGGTATAACCAGCACACACACTCGCCAATTTGTTTTGACTCTTTTTGCTGAGGAGAGAGATGAACATAATTGGACATAGTCCAGGCCAGTCGCTTGAAGAAAATGCTGGCATTGTATGTTTCTACAAACCACAGATATGTTACATTTGTACAAATACCTTTATATTTCATGCAGCATATGAGCTGACTTTGTCATCTAGAGGTGAGGGGGTGGTGGATAGTGTGTCACCTTGGCGAGACACCTGCCACGCTGCAGACCACTGTTGGAGACCAAAAAACAACACTTGTTGTGATTTAGCGAGTCATTGCTGTGTTTCCAACAGATTTTAGAACTTAGACATGGATTGTTTTATTGCAACCCATCACTGTTTTTCTAGCAGAAATAGTGCCATGAACAGTTATCACTGAGATGTTGCTGGGTTTCCTGCCAGGAAAGTAGCACTTCAAGCAGTTTTTCTTTAACAGAGACATCGCTGCATTTCCTGTCAGGATTGTACCCACAAACTGGGTATTTTAAGCCAAAACATGTTTTTTTCCCAACCATAGCCAAGTGGTTTTTGTGTCTAAACCTAAACATGCATTAACCACAGCATTGTTGAAACATAAAGTTTCAACGTACCCACTACATAATAATGTGCAAAAGTAAGGTATCTGTGGTTTGTAGAACGTACAAATACTAACATTTTATAATATCTGGTCTGCAAAGTTTAACTATAACTTACAGGTGCTAAAAGGTTTTGTTCATTAAGTCTGTTCTGGGTCATTTGACCCATATCTGTTGAGATGGAAATTACATCCACCAGTATGGGTCAAATCTAGGAAAACGGTGGTTATTGGAAATCTTGACACTGCAGTATCTGTGTATATTTTTTATTGGACAGTAGTGACATGGTTTATTTATTTATTTTTTTTATCTTTTTTTATCTATTTATTTATTTATTTATTTGGATCCCCATTAGTCACCACCAAGGCAGCAACTACTCTTCCTGGGGTCCACACAAGCAAATATGGTGTTCTATGCCATCAGGCAGCTGCACTTGTTACATGTGTAATGTCCGATGGCAAACCATTCAATAATTTCATTCCTCTGAACATTAGTGTGTGGCCTTGCATTTGTTTTTTAAACAGGAAGTAGAAAACAACTGCTGCATGCCTAATAGTAATTTTATGGGCGTTACTACTATAAAAAAATGATGGTAAAGGATATTTGGGATTTTTAGCACATCTCTTGATAACTACCAGAACTCTTACCTTAACTGCAACAGTTTTTTCGGTCTGTTTTGACCACTTCAGTCTGCTGTCTAATATCACCCTGAGGTGTTTGGTTTCCTCTACCTGTTACACAGGCACTCCCTGCATAAACAGGTTTAACTGTGGTTTATGTTTAAGTCTGAAAGTTGATCCAAATACTACACCTTTTCTTTTTGATAAATTAAAAACTAACTTATTACTCCATGGCCACACGGCAATTGATTGTATTTCCTTGTCCAAAGCACTAGACTATTCCTCAATAGATGCTGTTGGTAAATACAATGTTGTATCATTTGCTCTCACTTGATGTAGAACAAGAGGGAGATCATTGGTGAAGATAGAGAACAGTAATGGTCCCAAATAGCTTCCTTGTGGTACAACACATTGTAATTCTTTCACATTTGGAAAACTACCAATATAAAATACATACTGTTTTCTATCAGAAAAATAACTGTTTAACCAACATATGGTGTAAGGTGCAACTTTGTACCATTTTAGTTTGTCCGGCAACAATTTCATGTCCAGTACATCAAAAGCTGCACTAAAATCTAAAAACACTGCAACCACTCACTTTTTATTGTCAGTATATTTAAGGCAGTCATCCATTATCTGTGAACCTCACTGTAAGCACAAGCACATGCTATGTCACAAGATAATCTCAAATTAACAAATTAAAACCAATCATTTCCCAGCTATCCCGGCTGTCACAAGATGATTATAAAGGTACCTTAGCCTCCATTTATGTCACTAAAGGATAACAAAACAGACAACTCGCTGCAAATGTATGGAACATATATGCAAGGGTAGCGCAAGCATTTTCTACTATTGCTTTGAATGCAAAGACTTTTTTTGTTATTGGAGAAATAATGTGACAAAAATAGTAGCATATATACATAGAAAGTAAATAAAATAATTCAGTTCAGTTAAATTCAGTTTTATTCATAAAGCCCAATACAACAAATCACAATTGCGCTCAGAGAGCATACAACATCCCTCTGTCCTTGGACCCCCACAGTGGGTAAGGAAAGACTCAAACCTTTAAAAGAGCTCAGAAAGTGCAACTAAGGAGGGATCCCTCTTCCAGGATCGACAGACGTGCAATAGATGTTGTGTGTACAGATCAGATCAACATAATAAATGTACAATAATCCATGTGACAAAATGAAACATTGAAAGAGAGGCAGAGAGAGATAAAACATCAGATGACATCAAACAGTAATGACAATAGCTACAATAACATTAATTTAAGTAATGATATAATAGTAATAATAATAATAATAATAATAATAATAATGATAATAACTTTATTTGTATAGCACTTTTCAATATAAATAACAAAGTGCTTTATAGCATAAAATATCAGCACACAGTCAATATCAACACAAAATACATACAAATTAAACATTACATCAACTTAAACATTACATTATAAAAGCCTTCCTGTAAAAGTGTGTCTTGAGGAGCAAGGTAAAATGAGGAACAGACTCTGAAAACCTGATTTCCTCTGGCAAATCGTTCCAGAGTCTAGGGGCCCTGATTGCAAAGGCCCTGTCGCCTTTTGTTTTCAGCCTAGACCTTGGAACAGTTAGCAGGGCATTACCAGCGGATCTCAGACTGCAAGCTGGTTTGTGTGAGGATAGAAGGTCTGAAATATAGGCAGGGGCTAGCCCAAGTCTGGCCTTAAAAACAAATAAAAGATTTTTAAAATCAATCCTAAAATGAACAGGCAGCCAGTGCAGGGATGCTAAAACAGGGGTGATGTGGTCACATTGTTTGGACCTAGTTAAAAGCCAAGCTGCAGAAAAAAAAAAGTAAAAAAAAAAAAAAAAAGCCGAGCTGCAGCATTTTGTACTAACTGTAGATGGTGAAGTGATTTCTGGCTGAGACAGGTATATAAGCTATTACAATAGTCAAGGCGTGAAGAAATAAAAGCATGGATGAGTTTCTCCAAATCTGTGGCTGAGATAAAAGACCTGACTTTGGCTATGTTTCTCAAATGATAAAAACATGTCTGGACCACTTTTTTTTTTTTGGGATGTATAACTGTGTGTCGTCTGCATAACAATGAAAATGGACGTTGTATTTATGAATGATGTCACCTAGAGGGAGCATGTAAATGGAAAAGAGAATAGGGCCCAGGATCGACCCCTGGGGGACACCATAGAAGACGTTAGTGGGGGCAGAAACAGAGCCAGCTATAGATACGGAAGAGTATCTGTTATAAAGGTAAGACCTGAACCAATTCAGGGCCATGTCAGTGATTCCTGCCCACTTCTCTAACCTGTCAATTAAAATATCATAGTCTTCCATATCGAATGCGGTGCTAAGGTCCAAGAGAACTAAAACAGGAACACTCGCCGGCATCTTCAGCCAACAGGAGATCATTGCAAACTTTAAGGAGAACTGATTCTGTGCTATGAAGTGATCGAAAGCCGGATTGGAATTTTTTGAATAAGTTATTGACTGATAGATGAGTTATTAATTGTTTGAATACAGTTTTTTCTAGGATCTTTGATAAAAAAGGGAGCTTTGAGACAGGTCTGTAGTTGTTCAGAATGGATGGGTCTAGATTGGGTTTTTTGAGAATAGGTTCAATTAGAGCAGATTTAAAATAAGCAGGAACCACACCTGAGGTCAGAGAGTGATTGATGATAGATAAAATGAAGGGACCAACAGTGGGCATAATTTCCTTCAGTAGTCTGGCAGGGACCACATCCAAAGGGCAAGAGGAGGATTTCATGCGCATCACCATTGTGATGAGATCAGTTAGTGACACTGAACTAAACGAGCAGAGGACTGATAGAGTAAGATCGGTGAGTTGGTGGTTCCGGGACAAGTGAATTGTGGGGTCGACTGCTGATGGTGTGAGATCTAATGTTTTCAATTTTTTCAGTGAAAAATGATGAAAATTGCTCACAGAGTTCAGGTGATGCATGTAAATTAATATTGGTGGGGGCACCAACAATTCGGTCAAGTGTTTGAAACAGCACTTTAGAGTTTTGAGCATTCTGGGAGGTCAAGTTGGAGAAATAAGTTGCTCGTGTGTCCTTAACTGCAGCGTTGTAATCATTCATTAGGCTTTTCAAATGCTCATAGTGAACTTGAAGTTTGCAGGACTTCCATTTACGCTCTATTTTGCGTACCTCTCTTTTTAAGGAGCGGGTATGGTCATTAAACCATGGAGAGACTGAGGAAGTGATTTTGGTTCTGGTTTTGACTGGGGCTACTGAGTCCATTGTATTCAGGCAGAGGTCATTGAAAGAATTCACCAGGAGGATGATATCATAGGAGAGAGGTAGTTTGGAAGAGAGGCATGAAAAAGCATGTGAAAATTTAGCTGCTGTTGTTGAGTTAATCATGCGGGGGCGGATGGGGCAGGTGAGACTTTAGGCGAAGGAGAGGAGTACAAGTTTAAAACAATAGTAAAGTGATCGGATATACAGGTGTTAATAAGTTCCACATTATCAATCTTCAGACCATATGAAATAACAAGATCTAAGATATGGCCCTTCTCATGGGTGGGCCCTGTGGAATGTAAAACAAAATTAAACGATTCTAAAAGATTAAGAAATTCCCCTGCAAGAGCATCACCAGGACAACAAACATGAATGTTGAAGTCACCGATTATGCAGACCCGGTCATAATTAGGTAAAAGCAGAGAGAGCAGGTCAGAGAATTCAGAGATAAAAGTGCCATTGAGCTTAGGAGGGCGGTGAATTAAAAGGAATAAAATCAGCTGGTGCTTATTAACA